TCGAAAAACAGCTAAATGGCTGAGACGATCCGGAATTCGAGTCACCCACAAACCGATAGTCTGTCAGCGAGAAACTACTTCCAAACCAAAGGAGAAAGACAAGAGTAGCGTTATGCACAGAAGAGACTGAAACGCTATATCGGACAGATTGGATGAAGATTGCCCACAAGGATTCGAGTGATAATCAGGAATCATGACCCACTCTCTCACTTAATTTACTCGATGAAGATGAATGCTAATTGGATTCCGGATCACAGAGGATCAGTGAACAAGGCCCGCGAAAACAAATCGGACTTTCTCGAGGCTTGACATTCTTTGGACAACTCGATGAGGAGCATTGAACTGGAGAACGTGTGAACGCCGAAGCGACTCAAGGATCACAAGATGCAAAATAGCCTCCGAAAACCTCAGCATGGTCGGAGGTCGTTGTCTTGGGTTGTAATTAGTTGGTCATCCTTTGCACCTCAACAAACACGCCCATAAGACCAGGTGTCCCAAACTGCCCCGGTTGAGGAAATCCTTCTTACTACTTTCACGTGGTGGAGGTGCTTCCTACCAAACAAGAGGGCGAAAAGCCAATAGTCGGGTCGGCAAACCAGTGCTGGTTTACATATGGGAAATAGCTAAAAGCTCCCATTACAAACTAATTGTGTGTGGGGAACCACACACCTAAGGATGTATGATATGAACAACTAGACACCGGCCTCTAATGGGTTGTAATTGTCACACTCCGTACTGCTGCATTCCGGGTCAGGTTGGGGCTAGTCTTAGACTCTGGTTGTGAATCCTCCAGAACAATTCATCTATTTGACAGAGATTATTCGATTGCTAAGAAAGTTCAACAATGCTGGCTAAAATCTGATTGAATAATCCCCGATGCCAGACACGTTCCAATGCTTTTGAGACACCAAGCGCTGCTACGTGGAATTCTCTTTGGTTGTGAACCGAAGATTACCAAGGATTAAATATCAACAGATTGCCGGCCGAACAATGCAACCGAGAGCGTTATTGACGATTGCTCACTAGTCCCCTACAATCAGCGATTAAAGTTTCTATTGTTTTCACTGTCACGAAGGCGTGAAGAACGGGATAGTAGCTGTTGGGAACAGAGGGGTCAATATGTTTAGGAATGGGTAAGATCATAGTTAGAAATATTAGGAAATTTTTTTTTTGGTATTACCTTATTACAAGATTTCGGTTATAGCGCAGTGTTCCTCTCCTTTACCTTCTATGCTGTACTTTTTTTAACACGTTTCAAAATGGTGAATTTTTCCCTCTTTTCGTGCGTCTCTTTTTGATCATGATCAATAGGGGCAACGGAATACTGTCGGTCATCCAAAGAACACATCAACTCCTCAGGCGTTATCAGGTCAAACATTGGAATGTGAATTCCCGACTGTTTCGTGTTGCACTGACCGTATACAACACATAACCTATCACGATAACTTCTTGACTCCTTTGGATCAGTCGAATGGGTCGCGGGATACTCAAGTTGCCCTCGGTTGTCCACAGGACGGTTTGGTCGTAACGTCTCATCCTCCACTTCTGGTTGACAGTATGAAGCAGCCACATGCGACACAACTGTTGGATAGTGGTCTTCCCGAAGTAAGTTACCCAATGCAGATTAGTATCCATGGAAAGCAGAGGAACACTACGCTATAACCGAAATCTTGTAATAAGGTAATACCAAAAGGATTGATACCACATCACTAGAAAAATTCCCTAATATTTCTAACTATGATCTTACCCATTCCTAAACATATTGACCCCTCTGTTCCCAACAGCTACTATCCCGTTCTTCACGCCTTCGTGACAGTGAAAACAATAGAAACTTTAATCGCTGATTGTAGGGGACTAGTGAGCAATCGTCAATAACGCTCTCGGTTGCATTGTTCGGCCGGCAATCTGTTGATATTTAATCCTTGGTAATCTTCGGTTCACAACCAAAGAGAATTCCACGTAGCAGCGCTTGGTGTCTCAAAAGCATTGGAACGTGTCTGGCATCGGGGATTATTCAATCAGATTTTAGCCAGCATTGTTGAACTTTCTTAGCAATCGAATAATCTCTGTCAAATAGATGAATTGTTCTGGAGGATTCACAACCAGAGTCTAAGACTAGCCCCAACCTGACCCGGAATGCAGCAGTACGGAGTGTGACAATTACAACCCATTAGAGGCCGGTGTCTAGTTGTTCATATCATACATCTTTAGGTGAAGGCCAAAACTGAAGCCAGTTTCTTCATGCCTCTAGCCCATGTCATGGTCTGACCGCCGCGTCGCTTCTTCCAGCCTTGCCCGGCACGTTCAAACAGAGCACGGAAAGGTAGTCGATGGGCAGGCATACGCAATACGTGACCAAGCCATCAGAGGCGGTGTAGAGCGATTACTTCNCTATCCATACCCAACACACGACGACGGACCTCATCATTGCTCACCCGGTGTTACCACCAGACACGAGCAATGCTTCGGAGACATCGTTGGCCAAATACAGAAAATCGATTATCATCCTCCGCTCCGAGAGACCAGGTCTCGCAACCGTAAAGCAGAACACTGCGAACTGCGGCGCTGTATACCCTTCCATTGAGGGAGAGTCGGATGTCATGGTGGCGCCACAGATGTCGCAGGTTGGCGAAAGCTGCTCTAGCTTTCGCTATTCGCGATGTGATCTCGTCCCCAGCACCACCACCAGCTGCAATCAAGCTCCCGAGGTACTTAAAGTTCTCAACTACTTCTAGCTGGTCACCACAGAGGGTGAATGCAGGCACGGGCTCCTGCCAGTCTTGAACCAGCACTTGGCACTTAGAAGGTGCAAAGCACATACCATATCTGGGTACCTCGATCGCCAAGCGGTTCAAAGCCTCTTGGACTGCCTGTGCGTTGTCACCCA